TTCCTATGCTTGCCCCTGGCCTGGTACTAAAACTGCCTGGTATTTGGATCTGGAAATGCAAGTCTCAACACCCATTTGACTACACTGCTCAGCATGTTCTCACATGAATTGGGTGGGGAAGAGGGTGGAGCACTCCATATGAAGTTAGTGAGTTTGGAGTGGACAGAACAGAGAAGCAAGGTCATCAAGACAGAATTCTGATGCCAGTTACACATGTAGGTGTACCTGTGAACATACCCATGTTCTATATGATACAATCATAATGATAGCTACAAGCCACAAGGTGGGTTTCTATCAGCACCTGAGCATGCTCCCTTCTGACAGCCTGAGCAGCCGAAACCCAATCTAAAGAGCAGTCAATCATACTGTAGAGATTCTGCATCAAGATTTACTATATAGCTCCACTAAGCCATATTGACTACTGCATTTAGAATAGTGCTTCCAAGGCAAGTACCAAATCAACTACATAAAATTAAGGAACAGCCAGGCGTAATGGCATACATCTTTGATCCCAGCATGTGGGAGGCAGAAGCAGGCAAATCTCAGTGAGTTTGAGGCCAGTCTGGTCTACAGAGCAAGCTCCAGGACAGTCAGAGCTACATAGTGTCTTCAAACAAACAAACAAATAAATAAAAAACGAAATAAATCTCAGAGCAACATCTGATCCAAGTTTGGTTTACAATGTGATATACAAATCAAGTCATTGTATTTGTATCACTACTGCTGATTCTCTACATTAGGGCAAGATGAACCAAATGTCTACTGTCTGTTGAGGCAGACATATGCCACAGGCACAGGCAAGACATTGAGGCTCAGAAGACAGGCTGGACTCAGGCTTTGGCCCGGCAGCCTCTGAGCCTCAAGCCAATGAGACACTGACTCAAAAAATAAACTGTACTTGCTGTTCTTACATAGGATTCAGATTTGGTTTCTAGCACTGACATGGAGGCTTACAACAGCTTGTCACTACAGTTCTAGGAAATCTGATGCCTTTGCTTCTGGCCTCTGAAGGAACCAGGCACACACGTGGTTCACATACATACATGAAGAAACACATACACATAAAATAATAGATCATCCCATATGCATGAAAGAGCTGTTCTCCAACCTCCACTCACATGTGCACCCACACACACACATGCAGATGCACACACACACAAACACTTCAAAAAAATAAAAGATACATGTTTAAGGGGACTTTGGAGTTTTTATAAATTCATTTTTTAAACTTTGCTCCATTTCCTAAGAACTGCAGACTGTCACCCTACTGAGTATTAGCAGTATTAGCGCTGCCTAACACTGAGTGAGGAATCATAGCATAGAGTGGCCATGTAAACCAGTAGCATTTATCCACATGGATGATTTTCAAATTTCTCATTGAATAGCCTGTGACATCAGGTAGACCAGATGTCCACAGAGCTCCTGTTAACACAATCCTGGGTTAAAGTGTATTTTATTTATTACCAGGGCTCAAATCCTGCCCTTACTGCCCTTACACCTATGAGATCTGTGATTTTGAACACGTTACTAACCTTCTCGACGTTGTCTTCTGCAACAGCAAGGCTGATATGGCCCTGTGTTCCATCCCCAGTATGAAAAAGAAAAAAATTGAAAAAAAAAAAAAAAAAAAAAAAAAAGGCACTTAAACTGAGCATAGTGGCCTAGAACTCAAGAAACTAAGGCAGAAGAATGCCAAGTACTCAGCCCGGGTTACATAGAGAGATTTTTGTCTCTAAACACAAAATAAAAGCAAAAAACAACAAACAAAACTGGGTGCTATACTTTGTATGGTAGAGACACACGAGGTACACTAATAGCTTGGCTCTTGTCCTCACCATCATTTGGGTATTAGCCTAATTTACTATTATACTCTGTCAAGTTCCAAAAAAGAACTTAAAGTAGACTTGTTTAACTGTTTATTTGGTTAGTTTTTTGGGGTTTCATGTTGTTTGTTTTGAGGCAGAGCTTCACTATATACCCCAAGTTGGCCTTCAACTCAGGGTCTCTCTGCCTGTGTCTCCTTGGTGCCAGGATTAACAGTGTGATCTAACACCACCCAATTTACCTATTATCTAGTACAACGGTATCATAGAAAATCTGAAAACAGGAAGTTGGGTATTATACTTGAAGAGTGTATTCACCCTATTGCTCTGAAGTGCCTGTTCTATGTGAGAAGGGTCACTGGTGCAGGAGGGACTTGAGCACACACGCTGTCAACATATACTTTAGAAAGAGCCACAACATTTAGTGAAAACATTTCCAATCCTACAGGGAAGTTAGAAGGAGTAAAGTGAATACTCAGACGCCCGTCCATCTTGCTCACATTTCTTTCTCCCACATACCTTACTTTTTGCTGAATCATTTAGTGTTTTATCTATAGACATTCAACCTTTGTCTCTGAAGGACATAGACATTATCTTATGTAACCACAATACCACAACCACCTAATACATGGTCCACATTCACATTTTCCCAGCTGTCCTACAAACTACCCTTTTCTCCCAGGGCTGAATCAAGAATCACACATTGCATATAAACCACCAAGTCTCCTTAAATTGGGGACAGTCCTAGTCTCCTTGGGTACAGGAGTCCAGGAAGCTGCACTGTAGAAAGTTCCACAGTGTGGCCACAATTTGGCTATAACTTGGATCTAAGTTCATCCTTTCTGGAAAGTGCTACTCAGCTGTCTTCTCATACTTGCCTTAGCAGCTTGTACAGAGATACAAAGTAACCCATGGAGCTTGATCCTTGGTTGAGGAGACATCTGCTCAGACCTTCCTGTCAGGATAGTCTCCTCCATATTTCTCCTCCCTCTCTCTCTATCTCTTTCTCTCAAATGTATTTATTTTTGTTTTATGTGCCTTACTATTTTGCCTGCAAGTATATCTATATACCCATGAGTTCTCGAAGTCCATGGAGGCTAGAAAAGGAAGTTGGATCCCCTGAAACTTTGAGTTACAGGAGGTTGTGAGCCACTGTGTGTGCTGGGAATTGGGCTCAGGTCCTCTGGAAGAGCAACCAGCCTCTTATCAATAAATAAGTAATGTGTAGATCAATTCATGCAACACCACTGCCTAGCCAACTTTTTTTTTTTTTTTAAACACATTATTTACTGAGAACAAAGGTCATGCCATGGCATACATGTAGAGGTCAGACAAGAATTTGAGGGAGCTGATTGTCTCCATCGTCCGGATTCCAGGGATCAAACTCAGGCTTGGCAGTAGGTAAGCATCTTGTCTCTGAGCCATCTCACTCACTCCCTAACAATCTTTTCATTTATTTTTTTAAGGTTACACCCATTTGTGTCCACACGTGTGGACACATGTGCCCTGGCGCTCATATGGACGTCAGAGGACAACTTGAAGGAGTCGGTTCTCTCCTTCGACCACGTGAGTCCCAGGAATCAAACTCGGGTGGTCAGGGTGGTCGTAAGCACCTTTACCTATTGAGTCATTTCCCCAGCCCCCGACATCCCTTTTAATCAGTTAAGGAGGGTTCAGAGTTCAAGGCCAGCTTGATATATATATATATATATATATATATATATATATATATATATATATAGACTCTGCCCTCCCTCAAAACGACAAAATAAAACAGTCACTAGTGAGATTTATTCTGTATATCAATGAGTATTTGTAAATCTGATTTGCATTATAATGTCAAAATTACTTCACATTAGATATTATTAGTATTTTGTAACATTTATTTTACACTTTTTTTTTTACAAGTATTTTAACAAGCACTGGAGTGCACCTCATCTTTAGAGCCCTCATTCCCATAGCAGATCAAATTCTACAAAGAAAAATCTATTTTCAGAGTCAGAACTGGTGGCACAGGACTGCAATAGTGCTGAAGAGTGAGTTCAAGTTCAGCTTGACCAACTTTTTGTTTTGTTTTTTTCGACACAGGGTTTCTCTGTGTAATAGTCCTGGCTGTCCTGTAGCTCACTTTGTTGACCAGGCTGGCCTTGAACTCACTGAAACCCACCTGCCTCTGATTCCCAAGTGCTGGGATCAAAGTCATGTGCCACCACTGCCCAGTTAGCTTAGACAACTTAATGAGACCCTGTCTCAAAATAGACAATAACGGATGCTGGATATAGGCCAGTTTCAGGCACTTGCCCAGATTCAATCCCCATGCCAAACATTCTCCCCCCTCGTCCACCTAGGTGTAGGTGTGAACCTGTAACCCTTGCACTTGGAGCTATGAGAAGCGCAGTTTCAGGCTAGTGAGGAAAAGGATGGGAGGGGGAAGGGGCCTTGTACCAAATTTAAGATATAAAAATCACACAGTACTTTGAACTCTCAGAACACTAGCCACAGAGAGGTATATGGGAGCTATGAAGTCTTCACAGGCTGGAGGATGCTGGCAGAATGAGCTAAGAAAGTAAGAACAAGCTGGAGCAATGGCTCAGAGATTAAGAGCACTGGCTGCTCTTCCAGGGGTCCTGAGTTCAATTCCCAGCACCCACATGGTGGCTCAGAACCATCTGTAATGAGATCTGGTGCCCTCTTCTAGCCTGCAGGTGTGCATGCAGACAGAACACTGTATATATATAATAAATAAATCCTTTTAAAAATGCCCTTATTTAAAAGAAAGAAAGAAAAAGTAAAGAAAGTAAGAACAATATTCTCAGCAGAAAGTCCTTACCCAAAATCCATTGCAGCAGTCCCTAATGGGCACTAGGAGCAAAGGACAATCTCTTGGAAGGCATTTGAATAATCTAACTCAGTTCTGATCTTAGCATCCCCTCCGCCCTGTGAGGGAAGGGAACCAGTTCTAGTCTGTTATTCTCCCAGGCTGAGCCAGGATTAGCCTATGTGCTTGAGGCCTGGAAACAGAGACAGCCAGGCCACTGGGAGCAAGGAACAGGCTGGTTATGACAGACAGCAACAAAGCTTTCAGGTATCGGGACACTGGCACAGCCTCTGCTGACATCAAAATACACCAGGCTGATGGCCACAGGGCCAGCACAGCAGCCAGCCTTGGGCCATTACCTGACTGGAAGACATATCGAGCCAGGCCCTGCATCAGCTCCGCAGGCCATGTTGGTGGTGCAGACTCCCCAGTTTCTCTCTTCAGACGAAATGTCAATTCAAAGCCAAAACCGCTTGGTCCATCTGTTCCTGTAAACCTGAAAGAAATCAAACGTTTTCAATTTAACTACCATAGGACAAAGTCCTACCAAGTCTGCGTATGGTGGCTTCCACAGCACATCTCAACTCAAAGGGATGCCAGGGCGACGAAGTCTCCCCAAGCCCGCTTTACCCGCCAGTGAGCTGAGGGTGCTCATGAATGAAGTCAGCCCAGGCAAACTCCTACACCGGTACTCTTGAATTATAAGTTCCAGATTTTGTGGTTCTAGGACATTCCTTGTCTATGACAGAAGAAACACTACAGAGAACCTTCCTTATGTTCCTCACTTATTCAAACTGCTAATAAGTACCCACTCAATTTGCTAGGTTACATATGTCCCATGATCCAACCGCATGGCTGTGTGGCCTCTTCCATGTCCCCATTCTTAGCTGCAGACTGGCCTCCCAAGTCAGCACGTAGACAGGGCCCAAGGCAGACTGCAACACTCTTCCTACAGTCAGTACCCACACCTATTAGCGAGCATCACTTTCTGTAACCCTCAATGAGCATCCCTTAGTCCCTGGACTGTTTTCTCAGGGAAAAAGAATCCTACCAGAGAGGGCATCCATGTTTATTCAAGAGAAGAATCTGGTGGGGGGGGGGGAGCCACACCTACTCAGGTGAGAAAGGTGCCCAAGGAGGGGTCCCCCAAAGCTCCACAAAGCTCGTCAGGATGAGAAGGGTTAAGAGTTAGAATATGTTCATCATGTAATTTTCAGTAATTATATCTTGTACAAACATGAACCACAATGATTATACACATGTAAATTTCCCAGCATACAAACACAAACCATAAACTAAAATGACAGCCAACACCTTCCTTCTACCTCTTGAGAGCTGAAGACACAATCCGTGTTTAACCCTGGAATTCCTAGAGCATCTTCTTTCGTCATCATCCCAAAGAGGCTAGGATGGGGACTGGGTAGAAAGAAACCGTGTGCTTGGATAGACCCAGCAGATCAGCCCCTGGGCACCACTCCAGGAGACAGCACCTCTGAGAAGCTGCATTCAATTCCTTTCTGACTGAAAATGCATCCTTAGAAATCATCACAATCAATTCTAACTGCATTTAAGCAAGTGTGCATGGTTTGCTTATTTTTCTGGTTACCATGTGGGAAGCAGAATCTATTTGGAGGGTACACATGGGTTCTTGGAGACAAGGCTAGAATTGCTTAAAGTGACACGAGTTACACTATTTGTTTCCTTGATGAACTGCCATGCAGGGGTCAAGTCTGAACTGAGTCTGAGGGAAGAGCAAGAGCTGCCTTCAGAGGCCTCAGGGTTGGAAGAGAAAATCCAGAGCTCTGTGAGACTGACTTTGAAGCTCTGTAAAAAGGCTGCGGCAGGGTGGTGAGGCAGAGGCAGGGAAGATGGAGGCCAGCTGGTTTACACAGTGAGTTCTAGGTTAGCCAGGGCTACACAGAAAAACCCTGTCTCAAAAATCAGCAACTGAACAAAACTCTACACAAGGAGATGGGTCACTAGGGCAAAAGGAAGATCTCAGGCAGCCACCAATTAGAGACAGCTTTGTAAAGTGCATTAGACCATTATTCCAGGGCTTTCATCTTGGGCCAAGGAAAATACATGATTTCTAACCACAAAAACTTGAGAAACAGACTAAAAGGAATATATGCATTATAGACCGCACAATGGCGAGTCCGTGGGTGCAGAGAGAAAGCCACTGGGCCATTTGCGCTCACACCACATCTCCTCACTGAGAACTCTACGCACACACATGCCTGAGTGTGCATTCATGCACACACATGTGCACACCATCTGTCTCCACACACGGTGCTTTCTAAGCCAGCTCTGTGGTGGGCAGGCCAGCTCTCACTTGGCTGAGGAGGAGGGGCAGAGCCAGCCAGATGGTTCCCACCTGGGTTTGATTACCACCCACCAGGATGGCTGGACACAACCTCAACACTCTGAAACATGAGTTTGGAATGGCCCAGTCTTAGGATAAACACATGACCTGGGCCTGTCAGATTTCTTTTTCAAAACAGACTGTCCAGGCAATAACAGCCAAGCAACAAGATCATTCAGTGTTTTAAAGTTCCCCGAAGGGGCTTGGCTTGGTCTGGACCACTTTATACAAAGGCTTCTCCTGCCAAAGAGGGTTTGTCTGACCAAAGAACAGAGCTGCTCCAAGATAACAGCTGTCTTCCATGTCTTCTAGGATGACACATGAGAGCAATGACACACACACAGACACACACAGACACACGACACACAGACACAGACACACACGCCTCCAACTCACATATACTTATGCATCCACCCTACATACATATGCGCCCCAAAAAGTTTGTGAAGTAAAAAAGTTATAGTAATTTAAGGTTAATTAATTATTGAAGAAATGGGTTTTGGAAACTGAGTGTAGCCTACATATCGGTGTTTACAAAGTCTACAGTAGTACGTCACAATGCCATGTATACCACAATGTCCTGGGCCTTCACAGACTCTCACCACAGACTCAGCCGAAGCCAGCTCTAGTCCTGGAAGTGCCGTTCATAGCAAGTGTCCTATCTAGGCATGACTTTAAGATTTATTCACAGGCTGGGCGGTGGTGGTGCAGGCCTTTCATTCCAGTACTTGAGTCAGAGGCAAGTGGACGATTGTGGAGTTCAAGGCTGCCTGGTCTGCCCAGCAAGCTCCACAGTCAGAGCGACACAGAGAAACCCTGTCTCCAAAACATCAAAAAAAGATGTATTTGCTGTGTGTGTACCTGTGCACGGGGTGCTGGAGAACCACAACCCTGGGATGAATGTGCTATCAGAGAGCGAGCTGCAGGAGCCAGCTCTCCCCTTGCAGCACGTGGGTCCAGGAGAGCAACCGGGCGACCAGGCTTTCGAGTGCTACCAGCCCTGTTGCAAACCTTCTCTGCGTATCAGCTATCGTTCACAGTAGCAGTTACTAGTTCTGGGAACTCACTGTAAAAGGATAATCTTGTATTTGGAAGAAAATCCTTTGGCATACACATATCCAGTAGTATTTATTTAAAAAAAAATTTTTTTAACCTTAATATTCTATAAGTAGGGGCTTAAATAAGTCTCTGGTGTCTCGTTAGGACACTATGTGACTGAAAGCCAGGGCTGCAGGAAGCAGACTGACCTGTGAGTTTCGAGAGGCAAAGGGCTCAGCGTGCCTCCACCTGGTAAGGTGGAACCAGGTTGTACCAACCCCCACACGAGAGCCTCTACTGTTAGCTCTAGGTACAAATGTAAATGGTGCCTCGTCAAGTCAAGTGGTCGTGGAATTGGAACTTCTGTACATGGCTGGTGGGAATGCAGCTGCTGCAGAAACATCATGGCTGCTTTCAAAAACTGAAACAGAATCATTACGGTGAGCCAGTAACTCCATGTCTGTGTCTACACAAAAGCCTGGAAATAGGGTGTTGAACACCCTTGCTGACAGCAGCAGTCATTATTCAGAATAATGCTGGAGCATTCACAAACAGGAGGGGCAATCTGAGAGCCTACTGCCAGGTAAGTAAACGAGAAAATGTGCAGATACAAAACAGTCATCCACTCAGCCTCAAAAAAAAAAAAAAAAAAAAAAAAAAAAAGAAAAGAAAAGAAAAGAAAAGCAGGATATAGCAGCATACTCCTGTATTCTCCGCATCTGGAAGGTGGAGGCAGGAGTCTCAGCAGTTTAAGATATCTTCAGCTACATAGTGATTTTGGGGGCCAACATGGTTGCATGAAACCATATACATACATATACAACCATATACATACACACATCTGACAATACACCTGCATCTTGAAGACATCATGCTAAGTGAAATAAGCCTGACACCAAGGAGAGACCACTTAGACAGGGCAACCACAATAGTCAGAGTCAGACAGAAAATAGAAGCGTGGCTTCTGGGTGTTGGGAGACATGGAAAATGGGAAGCTATTATTTTTTTTTTTTTTTTTTTGAACAGGTCTAGTTTCAACTGGGAAGATTAAAATGTTCCAAATCTGAAGGTGGTAATGACTGTACACTAATGTGAAAAAGTAATTTCAATCAACTATACTAAACCTGATGGCAATGGCAATTCACATCATGAATATTTCACCAAAAGTGAATGGGCATTAAAACAAAGCCTGCATGGTGGCTCATGACTTTAACCCAGATCTCGGTGAGTTCAAGGCCAGCATGGTCTACATAGGGAGTTCTAGTACAGATAGGGCTGTTACAGAGAAACCTTATCTCAAAAAACAAAAAACAAAACCAACCAAACAAACAAACATCAAGCAAGGTCAGTTGTGCAGTGCACACCTTTAGCCCCAGCACTCAGAAGGCAGAAACAGGTGGATCCCTTAGTTTGAGGCCAGATTGATCTACAGAAAGTTCCAGAACAGTCAGGGAGGGCTGTTATACGGAGAAACCTGGTCTCAAAACAAAACAAAATAAACAAAAACTCATGAAGCAAAAGCTACAAAAGTTATCAAAAATATAGCTGTAGTTGGATGCAATGTGTGTACTTTAGCTACTCAGAAGGCTGATGTAGGGAGATGAGTCTCAGAAAAATAAAGGCTGAAAGCAATGGTACACAACTCGTCCTAAAACAGGCTAAGGAGGGAGAATCCTGAGTTCAAGGGCATCCTGAGCTACAAGATCGGATCCTATCTCAAAATCCAAAATAAGGGGTCAGTGAGATGACTCACTACAGGCACTTGCCACCAAATCTGATGACCTGAGTTCCAACCCTGGGCCCCATATGCTGCAGAGAACAGACTCTCATAAGCTGTCTTGACTTTCACACATATACTGTGATATGGATGTGCACATGTACAAAAACACACAGAAACACACACACACATGATAAACAGATGTAATAACAAATTAAAAATAAATAGCTAATTGTTGAGGTAGAATGGCAAGTCTACCAGTATCGACAGAGAATCTGGACAGTGAGGGCATCACCCCACAGCTCAGCATCAGTGAAATGGGGCATGGATGCCCCAGACAGACTTCAAAGCCGTACCACTCCAGGGTCCCTGTAAGGGC